AGCTCCTCAAATTACTTTACGTTCACTTATCTACATACATGGCACATACACCAGTAGAACACAAGTCCCTTGACAACAAAGACTTTTCTTTTTTGTCTTACATATAGTAGGCACTGCACAGAGCTGGCTCTACTATCTACTATTCGCTACATAAAGTAGCAAATTCTGCTTACATTCTTTTTGCAGCTCACGTGATGTACCAACAGAACATCCACTTATATTTTACAAGAGAATAACTGAAATTCTTTCCTTGATATCATGTCACTGCCTCTTCTAGTCAATATAATGATTTCTGTGTTGCTGTATTACTGAGATTAGAAAATAAAGAACTGTGAGAATTTGCTTCTCTTTTCAACGCTAGAGTTTAAAATGATAAAACCAAAATTCAGTAACTTGGCTGTTGAGTTCAATGAAGGAACATCAAAGACAGGATTTGAACTTGGGTTTTATGACTACAAAGTCAGTGCTTTTTCCACCACAATCCAAGGTCTGCCATTTACTGCCTGTGATTCAGACAAATTAAATAAAATGTCCATGGTTACAAAGCAGAAATGGGAGAGCAAACACTTGAACTTAAGACTTTGGAATCCTAACTCAGTCTTCTTTCCACTACATCACTCTGGTATAGCAGGTTGAGATGCATGACTGAGTGTAAATACTTAAGTAGATTTTAATGCAATAGTCTCCTTACTTTAAATAATACCACTAACACCATAAAAGCTATCCTGAGTCAAACTAATAATGATACATCCACATCTGACTATTCCCCTTGCCTCATATACTATTGCTAAGCACATTATCTCTTTTTCTCCAGCTCTAACCTTTCTCCTGCATGCCAGGAATTTTCAATTATCTACTGGTACCTCTACCTAATGTATTTTTAAAATCAAGTTTATCTTTCCCCCTGAACTAGCTGCCTCCTGACTTATTTCTACCAGTGGTACCATCATTTTACCCAGTCTTCCATGTCTGAAACCTTGTTATTGTCTTTGACTCTCTTTCACATCTCATGTCTATTTGATTTCCAATAAAAATAACAAAACCACAAATAGCTGACATTTATATAGCACTTTAAGTTTTAAAAAATACTTCACATGCAGCATCTCATTTAAGGTGCACAATAACTTTGTAAGGAAAGTACTTTGTTATGTTTGAAAGACATTGTTATCCCCTCCCTTTTAGAGATACTGAAAATGAAGCTCAGAAGCTTAAATGATACGTCTCTTGGTGACCCAACAAGCAAACAGTGTGCACTTGAAGGTTTATAAGCACTTTACAAAAACAACAACCCTTTAAAGTGAGTCGCACCAGTACTACTGACAGCATTTGAAAGATAGTTAAGCTCATGGTGACTTGCCCGTGGTCACAGAGAGAGTACCAGCTGAAGGTTGGACTTGAAGTTCTTTGCTCTTTTCACTACACCATGCTGGCCTCAAGACCAGTCAATTTTATCTCTGCAGTATCTTTTCACAACCACCTCCTCCTTGTTCTTCTGCACTACCATCCCCCTCGGGTAGAAAATAATTACTATTCACCTGCACTACTGTAATAATCTTCTACCATCCAATGAATCCTTCATTCCTCTGCTGAATTCCTCGTGCAGAAATCAGGCCACATCACTTCTCTGTTCAAAAAACTACAGTAGCTCTTTAATTTACTGCCTGGGTAAAGTTCAGTCTCTTGTCTGGCATTCAAGGTGTCCTAAAATCTGGCATTACCCTGACTCATCAACTCTATCTAGTACTGGCCAAAGTGGCTATTCTGGGAATGTATCTTTAGGCATCTTTTTCATCAGTCCCAAAGGAATTCACCTACCATTCCTTTTGTCTACTGAATTCCTATTCATTATTTAAAACCAAATTAAAATGCCAACTCTTTCAATTTAGTTTTTCATAATTCCCAGGTACAGTAAGAAATCTTTCCTCTGGGACCTCACATAGCATTTTGCATAAATCTCTAATGTATACATCATGTACAATTGTACAATTTTATATTATAATTTGTGTGTGCATGTGCATTATACTCTCCAGAAAGACTAAGTACCAAGAATGCAGAATGATCCCTGACTTATCAAAACTCTACTTCCTCAAATCTCTTGACAACACAGATTCGGGGAGGCAGTTTATAAGTTCATAAATTAAAAATGAAAGGTATCTCAGATGTCAACTAGTCTAACCCTATTATTTTACAAGACAGCAAACTGAATTCCAGATATTTTAGGTAAGGTGCCAAGTTCACACAGGTATTAAGAGGCAGACTGAGAACTTAAGCAGGTCTTGACTCCATCTCCAACCACTGTAACATAAAGTGGGTGATAAATACAAGCTTGTTGAATTGATTTGCGTGTACTCCCTACAATGACACTTTAAAGCAGGTAGGAGAAGCATTCCACTCAGGAAACAGGCTCAGAGAAGTTTTCAGTCTTTATCCATGACTCAATTTAAGGCAGGGATTCTCAAGTTGGGGTACAGAATAGACAAGAGAGATTTCAAGGAGTTTGTGAACTTAGATGAGGCAAAAAGAACTGTTTTAAAAAACTAACCTCTAATTAAAATTGAGCATTTCTTTCAGTTATTTCAAAACATTGTTTAGATGAGGGATCCATAGGCTTCACCTGACTGCCAAAGGGGTCCATGGCCCAGGGGAAAAAAAAGGTTAAGAATTTCTGATTTAGGGCCATCGAATTTAGAACTGGAAGGGGTCCTTAAAAACCTAGTCTAAACCTCTTTTAAAGAAGTCAACAGAGGCTCAAAGAGACTAAGTGTACTGTGTCTTGCTCTCTGGCAGTGGTATGTAGAAAATATGTCACATCCAGATCAACTAAAATTAGATCTTTGGTCTCTAGACACTTTTCACTATACCACCCTGCCTCTCGAGTTTAATCGTTAATAAAAAAAAAAAGAGCATTACTATTAAAAAGCTTTTTAAAACATCATTCTTCTCCCCCATCTCATCTACTCTTTCTCACACAAGCATTTGGGCACACATACCATATATATATGCAACACACACATCACATGCATACATAAATGCACAACATACATACAAGCACACATATATCACATATTGCATATACACATACACACTGTCATACATGTAACACCACACACACCACATATGCACTTATACATCCATACACACATGGCATGCACATCACATATACCCATGCATATTAAATATATCATATAATGTAGTACAGACACGCCTGCATGTATATGACTGAACGTATGGCACACATGTGATCACATATATGTGCAGTGCACACCACATATACAACGATGCATCACATAGACATGCTTACACTCATACACCCATAACACATACAAATAATCAGACACACATATACCTATAAACATACATCACATAAAGATGTATATACCATACACACATGCAAGCATACTCATATACACAACACACATGATACACAATCATAAACGCACAACACACATGTATACATGTACACCACAAGACAATCACACAAACCGCATACACACATCTTATGCTCACAAGGCATACCATGTGCACACACATGTAACCACACGCACATGTCATACACCCCATCACACACTACATGTAAACATGCATACACTACATATATGCTCACATATACACCGCATACACACATATACAATCATGTTACACACTACAATCATACACATATACACATATAAATGCACACCACACAAACATTCATATATATATATATACCACATACATACATACATAATTATGTGTATGTTGTGTTGTGTCTAACTCTTCGCAACCTGCGGACTATACTGTCCATGTGGTTTTTTTGGCAAAGGTACTAGAGTGGTTTGCTACTTCCTTCTCCAGTGGATTAAGGCAAACAGAGGTTAAGTGACCTGTCTAGGGTCACAAGCTGGTAAGAGTCTGAGGCCTCATTTGAACTCAGGTCTTCCTGTCTCGAGGCCCAGTGTTCTCTCCACTGATCCATATAGCTGTCTCCACCTACAGGTACACACACTGCATATACACACTCACACATGTATATACCACATATACAAAACACATACCATACATGTGTTCACACACTACATGCATATACACACAACACACACACACACTCATAGACATGCACACCGCATACAGGATCACACATACACAACAGACACACCATGCATGTGTTTACACACTACATGCATACACATATACACACCACACACACGATCACACCGACACAACACCATGCATGTGTCCACACGCTACATGCACATAAATACACACCACATACACACGCTCACACTCATAGACACGCACACACAACCACACAGACACCACAGAGGCACCCACACACCCACACACACCCACGCCCTCCTCCGCCCAGGCCGCGCAGCCCCGGGCTCCCCCGCCACCTCTGCCCCGGCAGGCCCCGCTCGGCTCCGCCGGGCTCCCGGCCTGCGCCTTCACCCCCGCCGCCCCAGGGGGCAGTCACCTGGCAGGGCCATAGCCGGGGTGGGGGCAACCTCTGGGCCTCAGCTCCCTGGACTCGCTTCCGGCGGCTCTCACCGGCCGCCGCCGCTCTCAACTCGGCCGCTCCCGCCACCGCCTCCTGTTAGGGACGGAGCCCCGAGGAAGGCTACAGAACCCGGCGGCTTCAGCCGTGGTTCCCGGGCGGAGGCAGAAGACGGAGCACTAGGCGTCCAAACCATTTCTGACATATCCTGGGGGGGAGAGGGGAGAGGACTTGCCGGTCGCTGGCTGAAGAGTAATTTAAAACAAAAGGAGGTTTCGGCGAGGCTGGACAATGAAATGAATCCTAACCCCCAGCGCTGATTAGCGGGCTGCCTTCGCTCTCTGCCCGAGCATTTCTGTCGGAGAAGGTGGAGGAGCCCCCCTCCCCGCGGCGCGCGGTGTTGCGGCCAGGAGCAGTATGGCGGCCGCCGGGCTCCGTTAGAGCCTCGGTCGGCTGCCGGAGCAGAGGAGCGGTAGTAGGTGTGGTGCCGTGGCTGGGGCTGCCTGTGGTCGCCGTCGGCCCGAGAGCACTGGGCTGGGCCTTCGCCGGGCAGCGCGGACGGTCAGGCCGAGCGCCCCTGAACCTTGTAACCCGGCGGGGCGTCTCCCTTGCCCCGACAGCCGCCCAGCATGAGCAACATTTACATCCAGGAGCCGCCCACGAACGGAAAGGTGAGAGCGTGGGCCGGGGGGGGGGGTCCCCCACTATTCCCTGGAGCGGGGTGGCAGGCTCGTGGGATGCAGTGTTCACCGCTCCGGCTGGGCCGAGAGTCGGGGGATCTGAGTTCGAATCCCCGCTCTGTCGTTTACTAGTTGTGCAACTTTGGACGAGTCAGTTAACTTCTCTGGGCCTCAGTTTCCTCGTCTGTAAAATAACGAAGTTGGCCTAGATGATTGCTGAGGACCTTTCCTAATCCAAGTGCTTTAATCACAGGGTCGGAAGGGTCACAGATTCCATCTCCCATACTTTGGGAAGAATTGCAGCTAAACCCAATCTCAACTAGGTGCTCCGTTTTAAAAAAAACAGGCAGAGAGAGCACAGTCTACTTTCTCATCCCTCCCTCCCTCCTTCCCTCGCCTCCCTTCTTGGACCTCAGAACTGTTGAAGCAGGGGCTTATTAACCCGTTTTTGTGTCCTGAACCCCTTTGCCTCTGTATCCTTTTTCAGAAAAAGGGTTTTGAATAATTGGTTAGTGAAGATAAGGATGTAATTTTTTCTCATTCAAGTTTACAGGACCCCCCCCCCCCCAAAAAAAAATCTGTCCATGCCCCCTAGGTAAAGAATCTTTGCGGGAAAGGAAGCCCAGTCAGGAATTTATTAAGTGTCCACAATGACGAGGATGCTGGAGATACCAGGAGGACCTTTGGTACCACCTAGTCCAACCCCCTCCTTTTGTAGACATGGAGAAGGAGATGGACTGAAGTGAGTTGCTTAAGGTCTCATGGCTGGTGAATGGTCAGTCAATAAACATTTATTAAACACCTACTACAGCCTTTATTAAACACCTTTGACAAGCTTTGTGCTAAACACTGGGGATTGAAAAAGTGGCAGAAGACAGTTTCTGCCACAAGGAGCTCACAATCTAATGGTGGAGAACTAAAGGAAACTAGGGAAATTAATAGGCAGAGTTGAGGAGGGAGAGCATTCCAGACATGGGGGACAGTCAGAGAAAATGTTCTGAGCAGAGAGATGGCGGGTCTTGTTCCTGGTACAGCAAGGAAGCCAGTGTCAGTGGATTGAAGAGGATGAGTACTTTTCAGGGAGTAAAGGTGTAAGGAGATTGTAAAGATTATGAAAGGCCAAACAGAGGATTGTGTATTTGGTTCAGAAAGTGATAGGGAACCACCAGAGTTTTATCAAAAAAATCAATCAATAAACATTTATTAAGCACCTACTATGTGCCAGGTACTTTGCTAAGCATGGGGGATACCAAAAGAGGTAAAAGACAGTTCCAGACCTCAAGGAACTTATAATCTATGGGGGAGACCAAATGCAAATCTATGTAAAGCAAGCTATATACAGGATAAATAGGAGGTAATTAAGAGTGGGAAGTTTATTGAGTAGAGGGGTGACATGGTTGAACCTGCACTTTAGGAAAATCACTTTGGTGGTTGAATGGAGGGTGAATTGGAGTGGGGAGAGCCTTGAGTCAGGCAGACCCACCAGCAAGTTATTACAATAGTCCAGGCATGAGGTTGTGAGGTTTCACAGTAGAATAATGACAGTGTCAGAGGAGAGATGGGGGCATATTTGAGAAATGTTGCTGCAGAGGTGAAATCAACAGGCCCTTGGCAAAAGATTGAAAATGGGGGGTGAGAGGAAGTGAAAGGGAGGAGTCCATACCACCTCCTAGTTGTAAACCTGTGGACTGGGAGACTGGCTTTGCTCTCTACAGTAATAGGGAAGGTAGGAGGATGGGAGGGTTTAGGATAACACATTCCATTTTGGATATATTGAGTTTAAGATGTCTGCTGGACATCCAGTTCAAGATGTCTAAAAGGTAACTGGAGATGTGAGATTGGAGATCAGGAGAGAGACTGGGGCAAGATGGATAAATTTGAGAATCATCAGCATTAAGGATGATAATTAAATCCATGGGATCTGATGAGATCACTAAGTGAAGTAGTATACAGGGAGAAGAGGGTCCAAGACAAAGCCCTGAGGGAGATTCTGTGATTGGAGAGCATGATCTAGAGGAAGATCCCTCTAGGAGACAGAGAAAGAGTGGTCAGATAGGTAGGAGGAGAACCAGGAGAGTCATGGCCCAGAAACCTAGAGAGAAGAGAGTATCAAGGAGAAGAAGGTGATGCACAGAGTCAGAGGCTACCAAAAGTTGGAGACTGAGATTTGAGAAAATTTGCCTTTGGATTTGACAACTAAGATCATTGATAACTTTGGAGACAGCAGCTTTGGTGGAATAAGTTCAGAAGTCAGTTTATAAAGGGTTAAGAAGAGAATGAGAGGAGAAAAAGTAGACAATGTACATGGCCTTTTTAAGAAATTTACTTAGGGGCAGCCAGGTGGCACAGTGGATAGAGCACTGGCCCTGAAGTCAGGAGGACCTCAGTTCAAATCCGGCCTCAGACCAAACACTTGACACTTACTAGCTGTGTGACCCTGGGCAAGTCACTTAACCCCAATTGCCTAAAAATAAATAAATAAACAAAACAACACAAAACAAAAAAGAAATTTACCCACAAAGGGCAAATGAGATGTAGAAGAGAGGGGATGGAAGGATCAGATGAGGTGTTTTTTGACGTTGGGAAAGACATGAATATCATTTACATCTAGGGAAGGAGTTATTAGATAGGGAGAGACTGAAAATAAATGAAAGAATGAGAATGAGAAGATTGCCCTTTGTTGGAGGGGCTGGGATAGAATGGGATTACTTGAATTTTTATCCTTGGCAAGGAGTAAGACACCTCATCATGTGATAGAAGAAAAGATAGTGGCAGAAAGCATATGAGTGATGAGATGAGGAAGAGGGGAGAAGAGGGAGCTCATGATGAATGGCCTTAATTTTTTCTATAAAATATGAGGCAGGGTTCTTGCCTGGAGGGGTGGGGGGAGAGGGAGCCATGGGAGACTTGAGGAAGAATGAAAAGGTTTGGAAGGACTGATATGGAGAGTGAATTAATAAGGCAGGTAAGGAAGGATTGCCCAGCAGTAGTAAAGGTTGAGGTTTCTAGGTAAGAGCCCAGTTGAGTTTATGTTACATAAATTTGAGGTGGATCTAGTTAGAATGGTCACATGAGATTTTCTCCATCATTGTTCATCAGCACATGTGTAGATGAGTGTAGTTGTGAAGGAGGTGGATAGTGGGAGTGATCCAAGACTGAGGCTTAGCAGGGCACTATCAGTGATGTGATAAGAGTGGGAGAGAGTTGAGTGAATTAAGAGTCGACTGTAGAGTTGAATTGGCTCACAAAAGGGTCAAGATGGGGAAAAGAGCATAGTGGCTAATGCAGGGGATGATCTGCATTAGGAGGGAATCTTAAGGCAAAGGGATTGGAGATCATGATGTGGACAAAGAATGGGGTTTGGTAAGTAAAGGCAGAGGGGGTGGTTGAAAGCCAATAGCATATGATCAGATAAGGGGAATTTGGAATTCTTAAACATAGTGATGGTGCATTTACTGGAGTGTTGACTGGATCAAGGGTATGACCATCTTTGTGCGTGGCTGAGGGTGGGGTGGACAAGTAGAAGTAGCTTATAGTCAAAAAAAAAATTGAGAAACATTGTGTTAGAGAGATGGCTTAAATTTTGTAGCAAATGGAAAGATGAGGCATAAAATGAGAGGATTGTAATAGATTGTACCCTTTTCCATATTTTTTCTGTAATAATTCTTCCATTGTGAAAACACTAATGTTTTGCATAGTGTTCTAAAACATCTGTTTTAGTAGTTTTACTTTTTCCCTTTTTGTAATGAAGTTTAGAAAGTTAACACATAACAGGAAATGTAAGCATAAAGGTTAAAGTATATTTGTTATTATTTATTGTATACTTTAAGGCATGCTGTTTTGTGATATATATGATTGGAATCTGGGTTTGTGAAATGTATTTTATTTATTGAATTTTGGAATGGTATATGTAGATGGAGTGAACCTCCAAAGGAGAGGTTGTTCTGTGGTAGAAACAGAGGGAAGGACTTAAAATGTCAGTGAGGAGCATGGAATCTACCTAGTCCTACTTTGAGTCTGCTTTGTGGGCAGGAGCTCCAGAGAGGGAACACCTGGTCATGAAGAGGACCCAGAAATGTTGTGGCTTCTGGAAGGGGCCAGGTTTCTGTTTATCCAAGAAGATAAAAAGAGCCATAGGAGCTGGGTTGAGAGCCAGAGAACCGAAGGAGGAGAGTAGAGAGACAGAGCTATATGGTGATGAGAATGAGGAGTGATAACAGAAGGTTTTATTGTTGTTGTTTTGCTTTCTGTAGCAGAAAGCTATTTGAATCACATGTGAGGGGAGGAAAAGAAGAGAATTTGTTGGTTGAGTGTGATAGTGAGTAGACACTGAGGAATTTCACTTAAGACTGTCGGTATTCAAATCTAGCCTTTATATTCATTTAGTTTATAAATAATTTAATAGATTATTAAAAAATTTAAATGGTCTTATCAAGACCTTTATGGTTTTTTGTTTTTTTTTTTAATGAGGCAGTTGGGGTTAAGGGACTTGCCCAGAGTCACACAGCTAGTGAGTGTTATATGTCTGAGACCATATTTGAACTCGGGTCCTCCCGTTTCCAGGGCCAACACTCTGTCCACTGTGCCACCTAGCTGCCCCTTATCAAGACTTTTGAAACTATGTTTGAATGACAGGATCCTATTTAGTCTAATTTAGCACTGACAACCTAGGAACATCTCATTTTTGCAGTAGATGTAAAGGAGGTCAAAATATATATTTTTTCATATAACATTTACTGAAATACTGTTCTTATAAATCTGTATTAAAAAAACAAGTAAAAGACAATTTATTTTTGTACAGACAAATCATTCTTCAGCCTCTTTTCCTTAGAGTGCAGGTATATCTTCTGACTTACATTTTGAGATTAATATATTTTTAAAGGAATGCGTCTTTTTATTTTTTATTCAGGTGAAGTGGTTCCATTAGCTACTTCTATAAGAGTGAATGACTATTTCAGATATTATATTTCAGAAAGGAGTTAAAATGTCAA